AGATGGTATTTATCCAACAACGGAGGTTCTGCAAACATTGATGGTGCTTATGTTGATGGTTTATCAATTACTCATGGAAGCAATCCACGTCAGCATATCTGGACTTATGTTGTTGGAGCATATGAAGAGGATTTGTTCGTACATTCATGTCCCTGTAATACTGGTACAGCAGCTACTACACCATCATATGTTGGTAGTGATTACTACTGTGAATCAGGAGCAACAAGTTTGACTATTGGCACTAATAAGTTTTTTCCTGATGACATAATGTGGGATGGTCAGCAATGTGATTCACATGAGTCTCCTTGTTGCTCCAGTTCTAGAATCCCCTGGTTTATTAAAACCTTACCTCAGTCAGTTACTGATGATATTGAGCTGAGGATGTGTAGCAGTGAAGGATATCCTGATGAAGCTACTCCAATTGATATTTTTGAAATATTTGTCCGTTGAGTATTATTAAGTATAACCTGTATTTTGTCTAGATCAGAAATGATGTTCTATGTAGACTATGTTAAATGTAGTTAGATCTATAAACTTTTCATACTATTAAAATGTTTGACTTAAATTTTTTAATACTTATGACCAGGTTCTCAATATAAGGAGGGGGGTATGATGTACAAGGAAATGAAAAGAATCTAAGTCAAAGCAAACTGAAAATGATTTTTTATTGACATATTCTGAATAAAATGACATGCACACGTGGACACATTCACATGTTTACACACACACACATTCACATACACACTATTAGCAACTATATGCATATACATACATGCATACATATATCATGCATTAATTACCTTACTTTGAAGAATAGTCTGATGAGTTTATGTAGATACAGTTGATGACTTAACAGCTTACTACAAATAGTCTTAGTATCTTTAATCAGAACCAATAAATGAATAAACAAGGGAGAGTAAGAGAGAACTAACAGGAACTTGAGAGAGACAGACTGAGGGTTCAATTTATAGTCTAGCTATAGAATGTTCTAGAAACATAATGATTAGTTTAAGAAGAGAGAAGAATGGAGCGATCTAAAAGAGGACAGAATTAAAACTGCATGTAGAGATAAATCTAGGATACACTGTGCATGTATAAACAATAATGTAAACAATGTGGTTACAGGTACAATTAATTAAGGCTGTGTCTACAGCTCCGGTAACCGGACGTAGTTTGCAATGCTAGAGCTCCGGCAGTCCGTTTTTCTCCGTAAAACAGCTTGTGCGCATGCGCAATAGTGCAAAATGGAACTTCGTCTTTTTATCAAGAAACACTAAACCCTAACCCCAAAACCCTACGATCCCGGAGGCTAAGATGTACGAGAGGGTGCTCTAAAAACTAAACACTAAACCCCAATCCCAACCCTACGACCCCGGAGGCTAAGATGTACGAGAGGGTGCTCTAAAAACTAAACACTAAACCCCAATCCCAACCCTACGACCCCGGAGGCTAAGATGTACGAGAGGGTGCTATTTCTTGACCCAAAAAAAGCCAAAAATAAAAAAATTACAAAAAAGATATTTTTAAAAAAGAAAAAAAAATTAAAAACTGCAGCACAGTTTTACTCGGTAGTCCTGACCGGATTCGAACCCCTGACCATATCCGAACCCCTGACCATATCCGTGCAATCCACACCAGCCTCTCCACTGCACCACCACGACCCTGCTGCATCATCAACGCATGGTTGTTGTATTTATACTCGGTTTCTATAATATAAATCAGTGTATTATTAATACTGGGGCGTAGCCCCAGTATATATATAGGGGCGAAGCCCCTATTACCGCCCATTTACCGGAGCTCTAGCACTGCATACTGTGTCCGGTTACCGGAGCTCTAGACACTTCCATTAATTAAAGGGACACATGCACGGAAGCACGTCATCTTGAAAAACTGGCCCGTTTTTCAAGATGACATCATTAATGATGACGTTTAGTGTTGATAACTATTCATAACGTGCGGTCGCGCCCCCTAATAATTAAGGCAAAATGGCTACTCGAGTGGCTATTTGTAAATATTCCTGGTGTTTCTTCACTAAAAAGAGTATCTTGGGGTGGCAAAAGAGCTAATTCTGTTCGAGAGAAGTGTTCTACAGATGCCTACTCCTGGTTCTGCGACTGATTGCTGTCTCTACTCTCTACGCGTGTCTAAACACGTGTCATAACTATTAATTAATGATCTGTTGCACGCCCAATTTAATGTTTACTTCCTCTACAGTAACGTGTGCATTCTATTTCCGTGAACGTGTCCCTTTAAATACACAGTACAAGTTCTTTCAGTGTAACTCCTGACTGGTAGGCTGCATGGATAAATGTAGCGCTACTAGTGATGGAGCATCTCTCCGGACGGTTTCGACTTTCGAGGAGCAAACTTTGAATACCGCTTGAGCGGAGGAAGTCATCAACCTAACTGCTTTTAGAGGCTTTCAAGGCCCCTGCTTAGAAGGAGTGACATTTTTATCAGCCCTTTCAATCCTGACCAAATAGGGATGGGAGATGGCGGGGTCCATCAACTCTCCCGAGCAACACGGAGAAAACCCGGTGGTAAGGCATTCCGGGCCACTCACAATAGATCTAGCTCAACGTAGCCCCGGCCAATGAGGGAATCGACTCCCAGACGTAGGTCGAGAGTACTTTGATTACTATTATTGAAGTCATAAATAGGGTAAATGCCATAGTAAATTATCTACTCCATTTTTTATGCAGATCAATAAATTCACTACACTACTGGTGCTGTGGTAACTTCGGGACTTAGTGACAATAATAGCACACGTTTGCTCTCGATAACAAGATACTTTACAAAGAAGTATATAACTGTGGTGTGTAAATGTACTTTGACCTCACGTGATCGAGGTCTATAAATAAGCATAGAGTCTCGGGACATACAGATGCATTCATTCATTCGTTTCCAAGCATTCATTCGTTCGTTGGTTCTTCCGTCTATCTTCATCTTAGCACTCCGTACCACTGTTACAGACTATCGATTATATTCACAAAGAAACAGTAATTATCTTGTATCATAGTTGTTTATGATTTCTGTAACATTAGAGCTGATTTCTGTACTACTTATTTTCTCTCAATCCCCTCTCTCT